CACGGATAGCAATTAAACGGTTTATGTGTTCAGAAATTGGCACTAATACTTTTCCACCCATATGGCCACATTTTTTATTAGATGGGGACTATTTATAATAATGTTTGTCATTAAATGTTTGCTTATTTTTAAAATAAAGTATCGAAGAAACGCAAAATATGAACTCTTACTTGATCTTCAACGTGAACTATTTTAATAAATTAAAAATAACAAATTAATGTTATTCGCAATCTTTTCAAGATAAAAATGGAAAATCAAAACGAAATGATAACCTACTTCCTGCAGCGCCACGTTCAACGAACATTTTTGTGAGTTTTAAGACGGCAGTGATACCGCCATGACCAGTATCAGCATCAGCAATAATGGGGCGCAAATAATCAACAAAAGGTGTTTTTACTCTCTGTTCTTTGGAAAGACTAAACCTTGCCTCACGTTGTTTTCTGTCATGGAATTGCTGAGCCATAAATAAATGTTCAACTTTATTTGGAACAGTGTCCATTGGATAATCGGCAAGATCTGGGCCTGGTTCATTTGAGGTGGAAGCAGTGGAAGAACATTGCCAACCGGATACGTATACGGTTTCTAGATACTTAGCCATTTGAGCTACTTGGATAGGATCCAAGGCACCAAAAGTATGTGTGGCAGTCTTATTTTTTTGGTGGCGTTTTAACAAAGACCACAATTTTTTTGCCTGAGTATCAGAGGCATATTGCTGTTTAAGGAGACCACGCTTTGAAACTATCTGTTCAGCGGTATAAGTACGTTTTATAAGACGAAAACGTTCATTTTTCCACCACCTCTCAACTTCAGACACTTCATAATCGAAAGCTGCTTGTTCTTGAGCGATAAAGTTTGGTGATGACATTTTAAATTTAGGTGGTTTGGAACAATGTACAAAAAAATTTTAAAAAAAATTTAAAAAATTTTTTTTTTTTTGATCGAGTAAGTTACACAAGATTGGCGGATGATTTCGGCAGATCGTAGATGACCTGATCAATCGGCATTATGTATGATTTGTCACTTTGTATCGTTATAGCAAAAAGGTTAATGTAATACAATATGACAAATCATTACGTGACATTTCTATATACTATAACATCTGACTTACCAAAAAATGGTAGCCGGATTTTATTTGTCGAGTATTTGTTATTAGGGTTAGTATTAGAGCTAGGGTTTGGATTAGGATTAGGATTAGGGTAGAATTAGGATTAGTTTAAGGGGGTTAGCAAATTTGTCACATCGCGTCACATCCCGGCCGTTCTTCAATTTACTAAGTATTCTGGGGACAGAGAAAAAATTTCGAGAGAAAAATGCTAATTGTCACAATTATATGTCACCCTAATAAATATATGTGACCCGGCAAATAAATCCGGCTACCATTTTTTGGTGGCGAAGCTAGGGCTGTTGTCGTACCAACCACAATTTTCGTGTTACATACGGTTTTTGTATAAATCTTTCGGATTTCAAATCAAATATAAGGAAAAATAATTTTAATAAACACAGTTCTGTCAATAACTCACATTTCCTAAACAAACCGCATTTTTACAACCCTGACTCTAAACAAGATTACCTACAAAAAGTGCAAAGTAAAATCCAAGTGATATATGATGTTCAGTTGAAACATTGTGACGTTGATCAATACCGAAAAGATTGCCATTGTCAAAACACCCGGAGGAAAAAGGTTCTATTCAATTACATATGTGCACTAAGTCTTTGGAAACGACTGGCAATCCATACAAAATGCCAAGATTTGTTCAGAACATGAAATTATCAATGACACTGGTTCAGGGCTCAATTGGAAACGCAGGGGTTTAATTATCCTTTTGGAACGAATATGTTCTAAAAGAATCGAAAAAGTAAGGTTTACCGAAAAGACTACTTGTGTCACTTTGGATCTGGACTTGTAAAGTGGATCTTTAAAAAAAAATGGGATACAGCTCGTGATACTCGATTCAGATGTTTATATCAAAGATAGCGAAAGCTGGAAATCTCGCAAAAGTCTTGCTTACAATCGTCACAATGTTTGTGATATAACATAATGGACTACGTTCTGCCAATCGCAGAAGGAGACTAAAAGCTACCCAAGAGTTCAAGTGTTCCTCAAATTTATCACAACCAGCAGGAGCTGCTGAAACTCAGGAGATAGATGGGAACAGCACAATGGACGTACATCAGTGCCTTACTGTGGTCGAAAAAGAAGGTATCAAACGAGAAAAGAAGGATCTATACGCGCGATGTCTCAACGTCAAAATCTCCAATGATAACAAATTAAATAGGTCTTTGAAACTCCTTATGATATTCGTGATGAAGCAATGAATGACTTGCTTAAAGAATATTCCTCTAACTTTACTGGCATATAGTAAAATTCGAGATGAAGCTCTATTCCAAAAATGATCCTCGACAATCATAAACACTGGGGCAAGTCTCGTGGAGAATATGCATTTTTCCTAAAATAAAGTCATCAAAACCTCTTCCAAAAATCTTGAATATGACAGCCTTGTTATAAATCAACTAGGGTAAGCTGAGATTGGTCGAATGTATTGTCTTAGTCATGCGTATAACAAACTTCAAGTAAACGTGATTATATTCATAAAAAAAATAAGTTTACAGGTAAAATTTATTAATTAATTTATTTATTTAATATTTATTTATAATTGAACATATTCACTAGATTACATCGTATTATGTTACACATTCACAAGTGGATCCGTTGTCTTGTCATTATAAGCCGGTGAAAATTATCGTGTAATATTACTACCTGAATTTCGCACTCAATAAATGGACTGACGTAAGTAACGATGTATTGATTCCAAGACTTCTCGAACCATATCGATTTTAATGAAATCGAAATAATCGAAAATTGAATCGAAATTGATATTAATCGATAATCGTATAAAAAATCAAATATATTTAGACGTAAAATGACATATTCAATGCTCAGCAGATTGCGCATTACAATAATTAAAATGTGTCTAACTATATGAGGGAAAGTTGAATTAGTTGTTCAGTTACAAAATATATGAAAGAATGTAAATCTTTTTAACAAATATTTATGTCCAAAATTTAAATAAATTGATTTCGCGATAAATTATTATTATCATTAAATTAGCAGTTTCACCTAGGTGATGCCCAGGTTTTCGCTAACACAATGTGAAATAAATGTTGAAAACTTAATTTTTTAAAGTTTTAGCAAAATCTATAACAAAAAAAAATATTTAAAATAAATATACAATTATTATTTATTTTTTATAAATAATCCAAACTTAATCTTAATCATTGGTGTTTTTATAAAACATAATCTGATTCTAACTCTATTCCCAATTCTAATTCTAACTTTAATTCGTAAAATTGATATAATTTTAGTTAATTTCAAATTTTAATGATAATTTTAATTTTAAAATGTAATTTATATATTATTTTCGGTTTTCTTAATTTTGTATTTTTTCTTATTTTTCAATTTCTATTTCTTTTTTTAATTATTCGGTTAATAATTAAATATTTTTTATATCAACTGTTACAAGAAATCGGTGTTCGCGATGGCGCATTAACCGCGGAAAAATAAATATCGTTTATATTTATTATAATAGTTTTTGTTTTTATAATAATTTTATCATATATAATACTTAAATTTATTTTCATTTTATTTGTTTTAAAAAGATAAGTTAGTTTTTAAAATTTCTTCATATAGACTTGACTAATGACCAACTACACAAAGGAAAGGCCTGAGTTAGATTTACAGTAAATCGTTGTTTGAAAACTCAGGTTAACACCGCGAATTTTTTTTAAAAAACCGGGTTTTAATTTGTAATTTATTTTTATATCGCGATTTTAATTTTTTTTTTTTTGATTGGTTTTTTTAATTTTATTAATTTAATTACCTTGATTTTTTGATTTTATTTTAGATTTAATTATTTTAATTTTGAACTTTTTTAATTTTAATTTAATTTTAAATACCCGCGTTTATTTTTTTAAAATTATTATCACGAGTTTTAGTATTTAATTTTATTTTTTTTTAATATTTTTTAATTTGCAATATATGTACTAGTTATTACACGGGAATCCATAGATTTCATTACTTATCACGGCGTAGCCGTGATGATAATGAGATCGAGAATGATTCGTGAAATAAATACTTGTTATTCCATATTTAGTGAAGGATAACTAGGTTATATATGTAAATCACATGCGCGTAAGCGCATGTGATTATCATATTAACTCTGAATAACCTAAGTAATCAGTAACGAAGTATGGAATAACAGGCTTATCTCATTGTGTATGACGTATACACCGATGGATTTTTTGTCTATATATATATTCTTTTTTTCTTGAAGATATTTTTTAGGTTTATTACATGTCTAAAGAAGTTAAATGGAGTAAATTACAAAACGGATCTGTTCATTGTTATTATAAATGAAGAGTCAATTAAACCTTGTAAAAATGTAACATATATAAATAAAAAAGGAAATTTATTGATACAATATTTATATTTATGTTCTTCAGTTTAATTTATATTACAAGGTAAGAAACGACAAGTATTTCTAATTCTACGCGCGTAAAAAATAAGAAAGACCAAATTGAATATACATGTACTGAACATCGTAATGTTCAATTCCAAACACTGCTAAGGATGTACATTTTCACATATTCATCACATTTTGAATAAATATAATAAACATGTATTTTCTTAATTGCTGTATTTATACAAATATATCATGTCAAAATATAAACCAGTGGAGTAAAATCCATTGGTGTATACATAATACCGATAGGATAAACAGTATAATCCCCTATTTTTTATTTTTATTTTCGGTCTTAATTTATTTAGGGGTGTTCTATCGATAGATTATATACGATTAATCAAAAATCGAATTTTAGAGTCGAAATTTTGAGAAACGATTAATCGATTCTCAAATCGATCCTAAATATCGAAATCAATTCCAATCCCTAGTACATGGTCACATTATCGTCTGTTCCATAAGACACGTGTGAGCATCCTTGGTGTCAAATACAGAAGAATACGCAAGCAAAACTTGTGGATTTTGTGGGTAGGTGGATCTAAGGTATTTTGCTGTCCCTAAGGTAAAACAATCTTGACAGAGATATTAATGGTACTGAGTCAGCTTAGAACCTATACTTGTTATTATCTAATTTAGACTATGCTTAATGTGGAGTTTATTAGTAATGATAGGTTTAATTTAGGCGTTGTATGATATAAGCATTTGAAAAATTGAGATAATTATACTGAAATATTAATAATCGCAGTAATAAATTATGTTGTGAGACAAAAGTTTCGAATTTTTATTCATTTTTTTTTTTAATTTATTTCATTTATTATATTATTTTGAAAAATTTTAAATGTTCCAATCAATAAATATGTTCAGATGAACCTGCAATATAGCTAGCTATTGAAATTTTTGACGGAAATTTATAAAAAAAGGCTTTAGTAACCGCAAATTATAAAAAATTTACTACACTCTTCCGCAATAATTTTTTAAAGAAATTTGGATTTTGTGCATCATGCATACCTATGCATCGGTAAATTTTTATTTTATAAATTATTTTTTTTTTTAATTAGACTTTAGTTTTTCATGACATGCGACACTGGGGTGGTCAATTAACTAATTAAATCAAAACTATATATGGTATCATATAAAAGTTTATTATTGAGTTTTTTATACTTTTTCATGTAGATCTTTGATTCGGTTTAATAAGGGTAAATTACATAATATTTTATTAAAAAATATACAGCATATTTAAAGTAATAATTCATGAAAAATATTTGAAGCAACGTCAGATCCGAATTGTTGCAATTGAATTTCTTGGGGTGGAATTTTTTTTAATGCATTTCTTTTTGCTCTTATTTATTTTAATCCATCGGAGTAATTCTTTGGCACTTTTATTTTGTGGATAATTGAAGTTTAGATTGTTCATTGATATTGTCATGTTGGGATGCGCTTTTAGGTCTAATTTATTAAAAAGGTCTTCTACTTGCTGTTGGCGAATAATAATAAAATAAATCCGAGTCTTAACGAAATTATATAAATCTGGAAAATCATATATAAATGAATTATCGTCTGTACAGAATTTGTTCGAATTCTCTAAGAAATTGCTATTTTGTAATAGCAACTCATGCAATCCAAAGTCATCAGTTATTCCATTTTTTAGATCATCTTCTAATCCTTTTGCAAACCGCAATTCTAAGTCCATTGGTGGCTTAATCCAAGGTTTTTTAAAATCAGATCTAGCATTATTTTCACCAAGGTGACAAACAACCAATGGTAAATGAAGCCAAGGTAATAGGGGCATTTCCCCACTAAAATATCCGAAATCTTAAAATTTAATAACTTGCGTAATATTAGCTTTGAAGTAATTTTAAGATTTACACGAATATATCATAAAGAAACTTGAAATACCGCGTTTTTTGAAAATTCTTTATGAAAAAAAATTTCCTACACAGTTATGCTAAAAAGTATTAATTTATTATTGTAGAGATGCGATATATTTTTTTTAAAAAAAGAGCGAGCTATTTCATAAAAGAGACAATTGTTTGGAACACTTTTGGAGAAGTTGAAATGGGAATTTTAAGAAAGATTCAAAGTTATTAAAGAATAAAAAATACATCGATTTAGTAAGAGACTATAAGATAAATTTTAAATTATAGTAACTATAGCTTAATACTAGCTTAATGCGGCGGAAAAAAAAATTCAATAATATACTTTTATATGATACCATATATAGTTTTGATTTAATTAGTTGACTGACCACCCCAACGCGACACGTGATAACTATAGAATTTATTACGGCGCTTTATACATATTGTTTCCTCTTTTCTCTTCTCTAACTGTTTTTAAACAATAAAAATGAATGATACAGATTCTTGTTTAGTGAGGAATATTTCCTGTAGACCTATTTGTCAATATTCCAGAAGATAGTGACTACAGTGATGATGAAGGAATTTGGCGTAACATTTTACCTTGAAGTCTGCTTTTGACTATATGAAACAGTGGTTACTTCAACAAGGTTTTCTTTATTCGAAAAGGAAGTTCAGAAAAATTGCAAATGAACGTAGGAAACAAACAATTTTATGTAGTTGTCAAGGAATATAAACCAGATCTTTGAAATTTCAAAGAACTAATTGTAAATGACATGTTAACCTTCCTGCCCAATTAAAAATAATCCAAATAAAACTATTTTATACTACGATATTTAGATTCAGATATAATTTTGCTGGTAACCGAAATCAGAATTGAGCATAACGTTTATCAAATCCTAATCGAAAAAAAACAGAAACAGGATTGATGACTCGAATTACTATTGTAATTCGAGCCCAGAGGCCTTCGCCTGAAAGCATATTAAATATCCTAAACATTCTAAATTTGCTCAAAAACATTCCTTTATAATATTTATGTCAATATGCCATGATAAACATTTGCAGAGAGTTTTAGAGAGTTTGTTATTTTATTGTGCTCTATATAGTATTTATAAGGCGTACACAAAATTTAATATGCATGGTTATATACTTTGTTCGGTGTGCGTAAAAAAAAAAAAAACCTATTTTTAAACTGGATTTATTTTTGTCATTTTACTAATTTTTTAATTTAATAAATTTTATTTAATCAATGAAAATAATATTTATCAATGAAAATATTGATGAATTTAAAAAGTTTTCCGATAATTTTAACATCAACAAAAAATTTACATATAACTTGGAGACATAAAACGAATTAATAAAAATGAAATAAATATAATTTTGCGTTTTGCGATATATAAAACGCATTGATTTTAATATTGCATCATCTTTAATTTAACTATACTCGCTCAAATATCATCTTAAATACTCAAAATTTTAGCTATGAACCATGGTTAATATTACGGTGACAAGAATTTTGTTGGTCTAAGTTCATTCATCAGTTCATAATTCTCAAAATGTATCATTCATCTAAAACAAAACAGTTAACTTCATCATAATTTAAAATAACTTTTTATAAGAAATAATTTGAACAGTAATATACATAATAATACCTCATATATATATTTTTATTTTTAAATAATAAATATAGAGAATATAATAATATGAAATTTAAACATTACAGCAAATATAAATTTACATTCAAATGTTTCAAAACTAAACAAGACAAAATAGCATATTTATGCTATAACTCTTGTCTAACATCTAACAACATGAAATATAAGATTTCCAAGCAAAAGTTTTGTAATGATGAATGTTTATCATCAGAACGGTTGTCTAGTTTCTTCGTATCGATGACAATTGTTGTCAATAATAAGAATTTTCATGTGTTGGTATTGTTTCCTGTCCATAATTATAGACAGTTCTGGTAGGAATTGCTAAAGCTCCATGATAAAAATTATTATCACTTGCACTTCCAGGAGTTGGTAATGCTCTTGAATTTTCCGTTTTATTTTTATGCCATTTATACAAGTAAAAGCCTCCAAATAATAGAGAAATAACAACGACACATGTTCCTACAGATATACCAATCATAACTGGTATAGAAGTAGATGTTGATGAATTTTTTTTTGGTGGAGAAGGAGGAGGAGAAACAATTGTATCATTTGGATCGAAATTATTTGTCCATATATATTCTTCATTATTACTAATATCAAGTAATAAAATATCATTATCAACATTACTGTCATAACCAAACCCTATTGAATTTATAATAATAACAAATTTATATTTTATATAATAAATTACAAACAAGAAAAAAAAAAAATTTATTTACCAAATGATATAACCATATATCTGCCAATTACATTTGCTTCATGCCAATATCTGGAACCCGGAATTGTTCCGGAAACTTTTGGAATGCTCCATTCATAATTTAATAAATTTAATACATAAAGAGCATCCTGAGGTTTGAGATTATTAAGAGTATTTGTTCCTCCAAAAATTATCACCTGTTGTCCATCCAAACCTTTATTAACAATTAGAATAATACAATAATTAATTGAAGTTTGAAAATATATAATGATTATTTTTAATAAAACTTACCAAGGACGGCAGAAAAGGAATCTCTATCAGAAGGAATTGTACCAGTAGTGACCTGTTTAAATAAATTTTAGATAGGTAAAATCTTTGCTAAAAAAAATAACAAAAAAGTCAATAAACATACCCTTGTAAGCCACAGATTACCAATCATGTCATAATAGTAAATCTAGGAGTTAAAAGATTTAAAATTTTGATTTAACAATTAATTAACTTTTTATAATGATGCATTTTTTAATTATTCACCTCTTTCAATGATAAAGATAAACCATCAATATTAGATGTAGCATAATAACCACCTAAATAAACAATGAACTGCTTTGAGATGTATACCGCCCCATAAACATCTCGTGGAGAAGGCGCATTAATTGAACTTCCTATTTTCCAGGTCAAACTTATTGTATCTAATATAAGCATATCATTTAGAATAGTCCCATTATATCTTCCACCAAATAAATATAATTTCCCCTTATCATCAACGATGCCTTTTAGGTTATCTTTTCTAATAACATTGTCACCTGTAATTTTTGGAATACTCCATGAATTACTTAGAGTATCAAATGTATAAACTAAAGACATTGTTGCTTTATAATATTCTACTCCTCCATATAAAAACAAGTTTTTGTTATTTGTACCACCCTTGACGGATGCTGCAGAAAGATGTGCCGGAACTGTATTAATGTTTGTTAAGTCATGCCATGATATATTTTGAGTATTAAATGGTCCAGTGACTTCAAGATAAAAAAATTCACGTCCACTTCTGTCGGTATCTACATCATCTCGACCACCTAAGAAATATATTTTACTATCAATAAATGTAGCAGTGTGACCATATCGTTGAATTGGAATAAAAGGGTTCGTTTGACTATTTACTTCAATTAATAATTGAATTAAAAGCCACAATATTATATAAATGGTTTTGGTCTTTGACATAATAGCGTTTTTAAGACAATTACAAAATAAACAGAATATGTAGTTTATTATTCTGTTACATTGCAGAAATTTATGTTGTATCCTTTGCCATCTTACGCAAGAAATACAAAAAACGCCATAAAGATGAGCTTGATATACAAATGATGTAAGTCTTACCATTTATAGGCAGAATTTTTTTTTTGACTGTTGAAAATGCAAGCCTCATGTAACACATGAAAAATTAAGCAGAAATTTTATTCTCGTTTATAACAAAAAAAATTGCATCGCGTAAATTTCGCTTAATAGAAGATAAACCACGTCAAATATTTTCCATTATGCATAAAACTATTATTTAAATTGATGAATATAAGATAATAGTACTATATATAAAAGCACAACGTATTATTTTTTCGTCACAATCTTTAGTAAATAAACCAACAACGTAAGCCAAAAACTCATTAACTCGTTTTCAAAATGTTTGTTAATTAAAGTAACAGTACGATATACCTTCTTCGAAATTTTATATAAAGAAAATCGGTAATCGAATTATTTTTGAAAAAAAAAAAGTTTCGAATTATTTTTTTTTTTTTATCCATTCTTGGATTATTTTATATTATTTCGAAATTTTAAAGTTCCATATCAATAACTATGTACAAATGCTTCTGAAAATATTGTAATTATCGAAATTTGGGACGGATACATACAATAGTAACCGTAACAGCAAAATTAATTTTTTATTACCTCGTTCTTAATAATTTTTTAAACAAGATTTAATTTTGTCGTCTTACAAATTGTAATTTAAACAATTTTATTTAATCAATGTTAGTTTATTATATAAATCTTGGAGATATAATAAAACGAATTACTAAATATATTTAGCGTTTATCGATACATAATATATAGTAATTCGCATGACTTTTCATTTTAATTTACTACATTCGCTCGAATTAGGGATGGTAACGGTCGGTCAAAGGCCGACCAGCTGACCGATCAATTGATAGTTTAGTAGAAAGTTATAATTTGGCCAAATATTATAATTTTGATTCTGCTTTAACAATTCTAGCATGGCATTTTTTTAGAACTACTTTGTCATTCATTAAGTGTCGCAGCATTATCGCGGACTTTAATTATCTATATATTGTAATTTTGAAATTTTGAAAAAAGACAATATTAAAGTAAAATGTTGATTTTGTTAATTTAACACAAACTTTTTTCCAGTATTTAAATCATATTTGCCAGTTGCTCAACAAGTCAATGTCTCAAGTCAGCCGCCTTTGACCGACCGAATATCTCACGGTTATGACCGGTCACTACCGTGACCATTAGCATCCCTAACTCAAATATTCTCAAAATTTTAGCTATCAAAATATGAACCATATTTAACAGTACTATTCCAAGAATTTTTTCGTCCAGTCTAAGCTTATTCATCAGTTCATTATTCTCAAAATGTTTCATCCCGAAACCAACCGGTTAACTTTATTGTAATTTAAAATAACTTTTACAAGAAATTTATACATTATAATAAAACATCATATCTTTTATTTATTTATTTTTTTTTAAAAAAATAATGAAATTTTAACATTCCAGCAAATCTTAATTTATCTTCATATGGTCAAAAAATAACAAAAAAAAAAAAAAAAATAGCATATTTACTGATGTAAATACTTTTTTAAAAACATGAATATAATCTAAGCAAATGTTTTGTATTGATGATGAATGTTTTATCATAAGCACAGTTGACTAGTAGTTTCTTGGTATCGATGACGATTGCAATCCATAATAATAAGAGTTTTCTTGTGTTGGAATTATTTCTTGGCCATGATTATAGACACTTCTGGTAGGAATTTCTAAAGCTTCATGATTAAAGTTGTTATCACCTGCACTTCCAGGAGTTGGTATTGCTCTTATATTTTCCGTTTTATTTTTAAGCCATTTATACAGGTAATAGCCTCCATGTAATAGAGAAATAACAACGACACATGTACCTATAGTTACACCAATTATAACAGATAATGGTGCGCCAGTAGCGGATTGATCCTTTGATTCAGTTGGTGGAGTGGGATCATTTGATTTTGTTTTTGAAGGATCGAAATAGTTTGTCCATATATATTCTTCATTATTACTTATATCAAGTAATAATATATCATTATCAACATTATAGTCATAACCAAAACCTATTGCATATATAATTATAATAAAT